TTTTTTTTTGTTGTTTTTCACTTTGTTATAAAATGTTGGTAATTTATTTTCTTCCTTCAAGGAACTGAAAATGAAAATTGGTAAAATGTTTCTTTTATGTATCTTAACCTTCAATGTTTAGAAAGCAAATGGAACAGAAAGCATTTTTCTTTTTTGCTGAAGGATAGCAGATATTCCCCAAATTTATTTGTTCCTTAATTTTATTGTGAATGTTCTGTATATAGTTTTAACTACACCTATATTGAAACTAATACCCATTTGAACCTGATTATTCCTGTTGCTTGTGGTACTGCCGTTGGTACACTCTGACTGGCTCAGAATGGGTTCCAGTTGTGAGCTTTTATAATGATATGGGCAAATATTTAGGTTGTGTAGAAAGCGGGAATTTCTTTGTCAGCCAAGTAATGTAATACAAACTCCAGGATAACCGGGTAGTATGTTGTTATTACATTTCCATGTACATCATAAGTACAAATATACCTGCCTAGGTAATTCAGCTACAACATTTCCTTAGTATCTTAAATGCAATATTGTACAGCAGAATTATGAAGCTCCTTATTATATATTTTTGTGAACTCAAATTACTGCATTCAGATATTTGCATATGCAGATATTAGTACATTTGTTGTATATACAGATTTTTCTGAAGTTTGATCTTTAGTAGAATATTAGGAAAGTCTGAGAGAACATTGAGAAAATGGAATTGAATAAATGAGTTCAGTTATTCATATAATGCTGATGATTTCAATTTATAATAAAATAAAATTTATATTACAGAACTAAGAATCTCTTAAAAACCGCTATCCAAATTTGTCTGACAATAAGAAGAGATGTTTGTGTCTTGAAACGAGATTCCAAGACATACTAATCAATTTCTGCAAATAAATCATTCAAAATTTTAGTTTTGTACAAGTGTATGTAATTTGGCTTTGATGAAATCACATTATTAATCTATGGCCTAATGTACATTTAAGAATATTACTGTTCCTAATAATACATTTGGATCTATCCTTGCTAGAAACATTAATAAAAATAATATAGCTGAATTTCAAATTTTATTAAGTTGGGAACAGTGGGACAATATTTTTGGGAATAATAATGTTAATAATATGTTTAACAACTTTCATAATACTTATTTAAGATGTTTTTATGCCTGTTTCCCAAAAAAGGAAATCAAATATAATATTATTAATAATAAATGGATTACAAAAGGGATAATGACCTCATTTAAAAGAAAGAGAGAACTCTTGTTATTATGCAGACATAGTGATGATTTAAATCTTAAAATATATTATAAACAATATGTTAAATATTATCAAAAGTAAGTATAGCTGCAAAAAAATCAGATTACAATAGAATTATTCTTAATTCTGATAATAAAATGAAAAGTACTTGGAAAATAAAAAGGGATAAATGTATTCATTCCATTATGGTAGATGATAAAGTAATAATGAATCAGAACAAAATTGCAAATGTGTTTAATAAACACTTTCTATCTATAGCTGATTCTGTTATATCATATAATAAATATATAAGCTCAAATTCATCCAATCCAATCAATTACTTGGTAAATACGTTTAGTAGACCTTTTACTAAAATGTATAGGCAGTATGCCTCTACTTACGAAATTGGAAAAAATTACAAGGGTTGGAACTTTAATAGTGGCAACACTGCTGTAGAGACGCCATGCAACAGAACCAAATAATGTCACTTATACCACACGTTAGTTACATACCTACTTAATCTCAGAGCAAATGGACTCTCCCTTCCCACTTCACGCACATGCACAGTGACGAGAAGAACAGAGCCTCGTGTTAGCTGGCGGTCTAATGTAGTGTTGTCACGATGTTTTTGAAACAGGCACAACAGAGTTGGATAAAGATTGAATGTGCCAGAGGCCGTACAGCACCACAGTGTCATCAAGGTCTTCAAGAGGCTTGCAGGGAATCTGCATTGTCTTACAGAACAGTGGCAAGGTGGGTAAGAGCCTTCAACAAGGGATGCCAAAATGTGGCAGACATGCGTTGGCCAGGTCATCCTAATGTTAATGAAGAAGAAGTGTATGCTCTTTCCGCATTACTGGAGAGTGATCGACGCCATACGATTCGTGAGCTGGCTCGAGAGACAGGATTAGCACATACGACTGTGCTTCACATTCTGAAGGAATGACTGGCCATGAGAGAAATTGTATCACGATGGGTTCCACATGATTTGATGGAAATGCAGAAATAGCTATGATATGACACTGCTTGTAACCACTTGGAGTGCTATGAGTGCGAAAGAGAGGCTTTCTTACGCCGTATCATTACACTGGATGAGACATGGGCCAAATCGTACAAGCCACAAATGAAACACCAATTAAATGAATGGTGTCATTACGGGTCACCACGAAAATCAAAAGTTCGTCAGAACCGCAGCAGTGTGAAAGTTATGGTGATTCTCATGTATGACTGATGGTATTACCCTAATGCATACCGTTCCCCAACAGCAGACTGTCAGTGCGCAGTCTTACTGTTCATTTTTGGAACACAACCTGTGACCATCTTTGATAAAGATGTGGCAACACTTTCTGCAGAACCCACCCATCATTTTGTAGGACAGTGCTCGGCTGCATGCAGAGCAAGCTGTGACTGATTTGTTCGATCGGTGGGGCTGGGAAGTGCTGTACCATCCAACATACTCTCTGGACTTAAGCCCTTGTGACTTCAACTTGATTCCTAAGATGAAGTAACCACTTCGTGGCATTCACTTCAGAACTGTTGCAGAGATTCTTCAGGCAGTAGACAGCTCCATTCGAACTATCAACACAGCAAGCGCTGCTAAAGGTATCCTACGACTTCCACATCGCTGGCAGTGGGTTGTACACATTTTTGATGACTACATTGAAGGACAGTAAAACTTCGAAACATGCATCTATTTTGTATCAGTTGTAAATAAATAGTTGCCACTATTAAAGTTCCAACCCTCATATGAAATTATTAAAGACTAAAAACTCAAGTGGATATGATGAAATTTCAAACAGAGTAATAAAGTTAAGTTCACCATTTATAATTTTTCCACTTACTGATATTTGTAATGCAATACTTAATACTGGTATTTTTCCTGATAGATTAAAATTTGCCATAGTTAAACCACTATTTAAAAAAGTGAAAACTCATAATATATCCAACTATAGACCTCTATCATTGTTGACTTCTTTTTCTAAGATCATCGAAAAACTCATATATGTGAGACTTATTACTTATATTGAAGCAAATAATCTGTTGGTACATGAAAAATATGGTTTTAGGACACACTCCTCGACTGAGAAGGCAGCTTTTACTTTGATAAATAATATTTTAACCGCGATGAATAATAAGTTAATGGTGGGATGTATTTTTTGTGATTTACAAAAGGCATTTGATTGTGTTAGCTATAAAATATTATTGGATAAATTGGAGTTCTATGGAATTGAAGGAAAATTCGAAACACTTATTGGATCTTATTTGAGAGGAAGATATCAAAGAGTTTGCCTGGGTAATAAAATTGACAGTAAGAACTCATCCAAATGGGAAACAATTAAATGTGGTGTTCCACAGGGCTCGATTCTTGGTCCCTTGTTGTTTCTGCTTTATATTAATGATTTACCTAAAATAATAATATGGTATTGTTTGCAGATGACACCAGTATTACAGTAACTGACACTAATAAGTTAAACTTTGAAATAAATCTTAATCAAATATTCAAAGATATAAATACATGGTATAATGCTAATTTCCTTACCTTGAATTTTAATAAGACTCAATATGTCGAGTTCCGACCTTTGAATTATTATACTATCATTACTCAGATTAACTATGATCAGATAAATTTAACAAATGTGCCTGAGACAAAATTTCTGGGATTAATTATTGATGATACTCTTTCATGGAAACAGCATATTGATTATGTTATTAATAAAATTTCCATTGCATGTTATGCATTGAGAAATATAAAATATATTATGCCTTTAGATAAGTTAAAGCTAATTTATTTTGCTCATATACAATATATCATAAGTTATGGTATAATTTTTTGGGGTGGCTCATTGTGTTAACAAAGTTTTTATATTGCAGAAGAAAGTCATTAGAATTATAACAAATTCTAGACCAAGAGAGTCTTGTAGGGACATTTTTAAGAATGTGGAAATAATGACATTCTACTCTCAGTTCATATTTCATTACTTTTATACACAATTAATAATAAACATTTATTTAATTTTAACAGTGAGATTCACAAATACAAAACTAGAGCCCTCAATAATTTATATTTACCTGCACTTAACCTAACAAAATACAATGAAGGTGCGTACATAGCAGGTATTAAAGTTTTTAATCATCTTCCTCAAACAATTAAAATGTTGGCTACTGATGTGAGAAGTTTTAATCTGCATTGAAGAGGTTTTTATATCATCATTCTTTTTATTCCATGAACGAATACTATCAACACAATTGGTCATAAGTAATTTGTAATGTATTTAATTCAGTTAATATAGGTAATTTAACTCAAATTGTATTAATTAAAGTTTTATAGTAAGTTATTTTTAAATTATGTTTACTAATTAAAATCTTATTAAATTTTTTACTTTATATTATTTATATATTTATATATATACAGGGTGTCCCAGGAGGAATGTGCCAAACTTCGGGAGGGTGTTCCTTATGTTATAGT